TTTAGACCAGATGGAAATGATTTTCATTATCTAAAGGTCTTGATAGAAATTTTGAAAAATTGATAAAATTTTATTAAAAGTTTATTTTGTGAAACATAACCAAAAGTTTAATTTGGTGTTTGAAACTATTTCACAACCTGCGTTCACCGCACAAGGACTTGACATCTTGTAAACAACTTAACCCCTATAAAACACAACAAAAGGCTAGAATTTTATCTCCCAAAATGAAACACAAAAGTACTTTTGTTGCAATTAATTGTTTCCATTCAGCTACATTTTATTACACTGTCCTTACAATGTAGCTGAAATGACCTTACACTTTCACTGACTGTGACATTAAATGTCACATGATCTATTCCAAGACTTTTGATTGGAGGATAGTTAATTAATATTCAATACCTGAGAAAACCAAGAAGTAACACCTTCATGTAAATTTTCTGTTTGACATTAAATTGCATTTGATGCGAAATATTTTTCCAAACATTTTATTTTATCACTAGACATGTAGGTGTGTGGTAGCCGAGTCTGTTATGACAACCACATTGCCATAGCGATTGATGAATATATAAAACATTCTCCACTTTTACCGACACAATTATGCATGCTAATATTTTAGGAATATTCATCAGGTTATGGTAATAGTGCAGAGGTTGAACATCACAGAGGAATCAAATGCAATAGGCTCCTTTCATGACCCCTAAAGGTCACACATCCTGGTACTTTATTAGTATTAGATTTTTACACAAGTAACTGAAACAAATACTCAAGTCTTGGAAATCAATAAAATAAACTCACTTTTGATTTTTATACCAACGAAAGAACCAGGATGTGTGACCTTTAGAGGTCATGAAAATGAACTACTGTAAATCACTTTAGTTTTGCTTGGAATTAATTTTCGCTGAAGGAATGATTCAGTTAAAATAAAATCCAGCAAAAATACCTTTTTCCAATATTTTACATCAAACTCATCAAAAATCAGTGAAAATAAATTCCATACAAAACACTCGAAGATTCTATTCAGCGAAAATGAATTCCAGCTAAAATAAAGTCATTTACAGTATTACAACCGTTTGAATGATAGAACTTTTCTGGTCAATATTTTGACAAAATTATTTTTTTTTGTTAATTTGTTTGTGGCTTTTAGGCATAATTCCCCATTTCTGTTGACTACATTCGAGCAACAAATAAATGTGCTCCCAGGGATACCACAGTCAAAGCTACAAGTCAATAGGATTGTTAGGTGTTATGTGGTTTCTTTTTTCATGAGTAGTGCTCAACCCAGAACTATAATAATGCAACAAAACAGATTTTCACGCCAACTAAGGTTACATAATCCGTTTAAATACTTACGAATTCATTGTTGATAAGGGAAGACAGAATTTCTGATATTTCACGTAAAACTAGAACAAAAAAAACAAAACAATCATTTACTACTTTGCAATTAACAGGACAACAATTGAGGGAATCAATAATTAGTAACCATGACAACAGACTAGCGAAAATAAAGCGGTTAACAGTATGGACAATGATGAGTGATTTTCCGTTCACTGTAAGACCTCGCGTAATGCCTGAAGGACGTAGATGAGGCGTCTGCCACATAAATCAAATGATTAGTTTTTGAACTTTAATTTCTCTTTCTTATTGTTTAACGTCGAAATATGGCGTTGAGATACCTTTACTTCATCAATATTGTCCATCATCAAATGTATATAGCACATTAGTAGGTGTAAAAACTCAAAACAATATTTTCGCATTTGTTGTATCTTTGACTAGTTTATACGCTTGATTTCACGGATAAAACGAGATCTCACAGTGAACAGAAAATGCTATATTGAGGGAATCAAAGAGTAACCATGGCAACAACAAAGCAAAATTGAAGTGATTTACAGTATAAATCATGAGAATAATAGAATTAAAAACAGATTAGATACCTCTGATTTGACTCACTTTTATGGACGTCTTGGCTCATCTCAGTGATTTGCAAATGAACCGTTCTGTCTTTGTCGAACTCGACGTTGGACGCCGTGTCCTGAAGCTGCTCAGCGTGAGACATCAATTCTACAGCGATAAATGTGACAGAAAATCATAAATCAGTTGGTTGTCATAGAAACACAGTTATAGCCAGATAATGAAAAAAAAGTGTCTATTTGAAGCGGGAGGGTCATCACCTGCGCATGCGTGGGAATTGAGTCCCAAGCGACGATAACAACACACAGTAAAAACGCAAAGGCTCATGGGTAGACGCTTGTTTGTAAACAATGACACTCTATGGCCATCTGACGCATGCGCTTGTGATGACTCCCCCCGCTTTAAATATTGACAAGTACTATTGACTCCATAAACACAGATTTTTTTTCTACTTTTTAGTCTACAGTTTATTGTTTACCTTGTTTAAATTTTCAAAAAATTAGAGAAAAAAATATGCTGGATTATTCTGTGACAAAAGGTGACAAAAGTTGATCTTGATGTTACAAGGGTTAAAGTTCAAAGGTTAATTGATACGGTGCATACCTTTTTCTGTGAGTATTTTGACAAGCTCATCTCTGAAGTCCGTCACTGTCTGGTAAGTTTTCAAATACTCCTGTACAACAGGATGGCCAGATATTGAGACAGATCTCCTGAAATAGACAAATAAAAGATATTATTAAAAAGTGTTCAGATGTCAGGTGGGCAAAGCAAATGAACTTGAACTACAATAAGACTTTTGACATGAAGTCCTGTATTTAAGTTTATCTATACTGGTTTCTGGGCAATGGATAACCAAATATGGAAAATGGGTATCAAAATATGGACAAGGGGTACCCAAACATAGACAAGGGATACTGAAATATGGACTACGGGTATCTATATATGGACAATGGTTGCCCAAATATGAACAAAGGATGCCCAAATATGGGCAATGATTACTCAAATATGAACTAAGGATGCCCAAATATGGGCAATGGTTGCCCAAATATGAACAAAGGATGCCCAAATATGGGCAATGATTACTCAAATATGAACAAAGGATGCCCAAATATGGGCAATGATTGCTCAAATAAGAACAATAGTTGCTCAACTATTAACAATAGTTGCCCATATATGGACAATGGTTGCCCAAATATGAACAATAGATTCCCAAATATGGAATGGTTACCCAA